TTGCTTTATTGGAACCCTTTCCAGGTGTAGACTCCCCCAAAAAGGAGCTCTGCTGCAACAAGAAAGGGGGGCAGGTCCCAGAAATTCCTCCCCAGAACCCCCAGGCACAGGCCAGAGGCAGAAAGAGGGAGTGGCGGCAGAGAGGACACAGAAGAACAGGGCACAATAAGAACAGGGATGAAATAAATGGAAAAAAAAATAATAAGGGACGGGCAGCACAACAGAGGGGAATTAAAACAGAACAAGGACAGGGAACAGGACACAAGGATCCAGGGGGAAACAGTGGAACTGGGAGCATGATATGGCCACCGTGAATAAAAAAAGAACATGAGTGAACCAAAAAAAAAACCCCAGGGGAAAACCAAAACAAACAAAATACCTGGGATGGGCAGCAAGACAGAGAGAGATTAACAGTGACAGGGAAGAGGACACAAGAATCTAGTGGGAAACACTGGCATGGGAAACACCACAGAGAATAAGGAAAGACCATGAGTGAAGCAAAAGAAAAAAACCAAAAAAACCCACACCAAAACAAACAAAAACTGGGGAAAAAACCCCAAAACAATACCAGGGAAGAGCAGCAGTCACAAACGGTGATTGACAATCTCAGGGGAACCCCCTCACTTAGACAGGGAATGCTGCCATGGATTTAATCCAGCCGCATCTCAAAGAAAGTTAAGACAAAAGTCAAAGTGCTGCAGGATAACTTCATAGCTCCAGACATCTCATGTCAATCTAGGACTACCATCTAGACTACAACTACACCCTATATTGCAAACTTCAAATTACAAATTTCAAATTTCAAGTGCCCAGGACCTGTCCTTTTACACCTACACCCAGACTAGGCAGCAGGGCAGAGCAGTTCCGAGCCAAATACACCCAGACACCCGTGACACAGAAGGTGACAAACAAGGGGACGCAACAGGGAGGGAAAACTCTTGGCCAGAAGAATGACTGCAAGGACCGAGAGAATGTGGAACGAGATGACCCATGTGAGAATGATGGCGAGCTGACGAGACTCACAGAACCCTGGAGATGCTATCAGAACAACTTAGTCCAAGAATCACCAAGACGGTTGCCTAAGAATCCTACAGTCACAGTCCTCTACCTATTTTTGCATTCGTACAAGCACATGTGTTGATGGTCATAGAGGGAAAGCTTTTCAGAGGAGAAAATAGCCATTTTGCTAGCACACTTTGTGCACACTGGTGCAGAATTAGCACCAACTCCTAAGACCCCTCCTTAGGACACCCAATGCAGCAGACATTGAAAAAGAAGGGGAAAAGCCAAGCTTGGAGTGGAAAAAGATAACATAAATACATCAGCCTTTAAAAAACCTTCACATAGCAATACTGAGAAATAGTGACATTTATTGTTTCCTTGCTTTTTGTGATGACATAAATATGAAGTAGAACAATATTAAAGACAAGGCAGAGCTAGGATTTTACAGGTCTTCATTTTGGCAATCTGGATGACAAATGTCTCTTCCTGCACTAACACCCAGCCAGTTTAAATCCATCCTTAGCCCGACTCTTCCTCGCCTCCCATTTCCCACCGCTCTGCTCAGGGCTTTGCACCTCATGCCCTTTCCTCCCACACCGGCATTGCACTGGAACACAGTGAGGTTTTGGCTAGTACTCGCGTTCTCTCCAAGCTGATATTACCAGGAACTCTTCTGCTTTTTGCTGCACCAGTCACGACAACGTTTGCTCACTAAAAGAAATCTTTCCCACAGTGAACTGCAGGTACAAGGGAACAAGTGCTACACAGCAATATTTTCCAGCCTAAGGACAAATAGAAAGTTTCCAAGGTTTGGATCCTGTTTCAGTGCACCAGAACCAAATCAATCTGCTTCGGCTCTGAGAACATTTGCAAAGGAAGCATTTGTACTGTTGAGCACGTAGTTACTTTATCTATGTATCCAACTTTCATTAATGAAAATAACAGGTGGTATAAACACTTTATTCAGACATTGTGATGAGACACACAAAGTGATTTCAGTGCAAATGAACCGAAGTAGCTTGTGTACTGGAATGTATGTGGAACTCAGAAAAGGTGGGATGGAATTGAGGGAGGATGAAAGAATCACAAGACCATAAAAACCTCATCAAATGACTGAAGTTACTATATAACGGTAAGCAAGCCTTATTCTCCATCTTAAAGCAACTCAATTTCTCACATCAAACTGGACATCAGTCTTGCACTATTAAATTGTTTCATACTGAACGGTGTAATTCTTACACAAAACCATAAAATTATTTATGAATTATATTCATGAACATGGTATGAGGACTATGCCTCCATGTTACCACGGAATTTTTTTTTTCTTGCAGCTGGGACATTCTCCTTGTGCAGCTGCACAGGGATCACACAGTCCATAATGCTGACATGGATTCAGGGTAATGCTACAATCACCTTCCTGACATATTAGATACTTTTTTGACTGAAGCTGAAAAATTACCTGTAAAAAGATAATTGCAGTCAGTAAAAGGATTTCAAAGTATATGGTTATTTTCTAGCAAATTTATGTTTAGTTGTCCCAAATAAAATAAATTTCTAAGTTAACAGCACAAAGGATGTTTTCTAGTGACGGATAGCTGAATCAAGGTGATTAGATCAGAGTACATGCAAACTTTAAAGTAGTGCAAGTAGAGTACTTTACGATTTAAATTTTCCAGCATAACTGGAATGAAAGATGCTAACAAACAAATAAAAAAAAATTAAAAAAAAAAAAAAGATGAAATAAAGGTGTTCTACTGCCATTTACTCCCTCATTCTGCCATTTAAAACCACTGTTACATCTTCTCATGCTGTGGAAGGTGTTTTCACTGGGTCAAAATGGAAGGATTCCAAAAGTGCTATACTTAAATCAACTGATACACACTTCATGGAGGATGCGACAACTGCAAATTAATGTCTCCATTTAATAAGCAATATTAAGGATGAAGAACAACTCACAGCCATGTAACAGCTGTATTAATTTTTGAAGGACAAGAAATGGTTTGGATTAAGAACCCACAATGCTATATGTGGCATTCCCTAAAACAGAAGAGCTAGGTGAGCAGAGTCCTCAGTGGTAAAGGAAACCTGAGAAACTGAGGAGCTGGAAGACGTCGTATTGGCTATTATCAGGGTTGCCCGGAAGCGCAGTGACGGAAAACCACAACACCCAGGATGCCCCGGGAACCAACGTGGACGAGAGCAAGTTCCGTCCCCTGGACAGCAGCCCTCGGCGCGCGGTGGAAAGCCGCCTTGCCCGCTCTGTGCCCCCGCCCCGACAGCGACTGCAACGTGCCCAACGCGGCTCCGCAGCGCGACTCCGGCCAGACCGTGCCACCCGCTCTCGCCCGGCGCCGTCCTCGGGCAGCCCCCGCCACTCGGTGCTTCCGCCGCGGACGCCGCCAGCCCAGCCGCCCCCGCTACAGCGACCGTCGCCCTCGTCGGGGCTTTCCCTGGACCCGCGACGCGGTCGCTCGTTCCCCGCTCACCTTCAAGTAAGCGGTACCAGCGTGAGGCAGCGCGCAGCCACGGAAAGCGCCACTGCGGGTTTCCTAGCTGGAGTTTCTGGTCAGCGGCTGGCACCGGCGACGTCTCAAATCGGCCGAGTCACGGCGCGCGCTGCACTCTCCGCGGCAGCGAGCGGCTGCGGGTGCCAGCCGCGAGCTGCACATGCGCGTCCCCCCGCCCCCCGCGTGCGCTCATTGGGAGCATCTGCGCACGCGCGGGTTTTTTTATTTTTTTAGCCTCACCGGCGCCGCCTGGGTTTCTCGGGCGCGGCGCCGAATGTTAACCGTACCCGAGCATCTGTCTCTGCTATTAAACTTGGTTGAACCGATCACTTCCATGCAGCAGAAAAATCGACACGCAAATTTTCAGGGCATTCTAAATTTCTCAGTGATCCTCATAAATAACTTGCAGCTCTGAAGAGAGGATAACGATATGGATTGCGCGGCAGGAGCAAGTGTGCACTTATTCTGTGTCACGATATTAGAACACAGTTGGGACAGCATTGAAACGCTATTTCCACTGTAATTCCACCGAAAGTTCCTTCATTTCTTTGGTTTTTGCACTCCAAACAAACATCACATTAAATTGTAAACATTGCCATTCCAAGGAAACCACTATGAAATCTATCAATAAATTAAGTTCCTATTTAAGCCTTTTACAACACAGCTGCTGCAGATGCCCTACCTTTTGGAAAAGTTACACGTTAAAATTTAAAATATCAAAAGTCTAAAAAAAAAAAAATACACAACTGCACGACAACTTTAAAGAAGAAAGTCAAGTGAAGAAATTTGGTTAATCTACTTTGTTCTGTATATACAAATAACAAACTTTGATCCTTAAATAATTAAAGCATGAAAAAAAAATATTTGAACTATTATCAGTAAACAAAGACATCTTTGATAATCCATCTTTTAATAGAAGGTGCTTAAATTATATTCTTAGGACAATGTTGTGAGCAGCACAGTAATGCACTGACAAGAACTTTGCTGTCTTTTTTTTAATGTAAAAAAACCTTCTTACATTAGCAGAAAAGGAGTAGAGGAAAACATAAAGTCATCAGCCAAGGATTTCCCAACTACTATATGCTGCACAGTAGAGAAATATTCAAACAACTAGCCCTCCCCACCTCCCAGATCTCTCAAAAATATCTCAGTGTTTTGGATTAAATGATGACCAACTGAATTGATTTTGTCGCCTTGGCAACACCAAATCCAATGTCAGATCTCTTTGTTCTTTTTCTGAATCCACCAGCTGATAACCAAGAATGTTTATAGCACCTTTGCAAACTTCCTGTATTTTCTTAACTTTCTGAAAGGAAAGAATATTTCTCCAGGCCTGTGAAACACTAACTGCATCTCGAGATGTTATTTTGAAGGCTTCTTTTTTTTTCCCCGGTCCCTGTCCATGTGTGATATTATAGATCCAGCTTTTGAGCCTGGGAGTCAAACTAAGATCTGCAAATTTATACATTTCTGAGATTTCTGATAATGGTTCTCTTACCAGATCTTCAAAACGGACCATTAAATAGCGATCTTTCAGGAAATTAGGTGGTTTTAGAGTAGCTGTTTCATAAATCTGAACATGACTTCTGCAAACCTCTTGCATTACTTTGTATTTGCTATCTTCCACTTTAGTGCCATTGGTACTCAAGACAATTCCATTGTCACGGGCTAACGCTTTGACTGATTGTTCCCGTGACTTAACAACTGCCCTGGGGTCACGGACCAGGTGAATAATTTTGAGATTCAGGGATGGATCAGTGAGAAGGGGGTATAGGACCTTCAAGTCAAAGAACCGAACTTCCTTGATGACAACGTGGCTGTAAGTTTTACAGGCTTCCTCCACCTTGCTGAATGGATACCGTCCACAAAGGGTCTTGCATGCCAATTCACTGGTTATGTCGGTACGTTGAAAAAAGTCACAAGCAGGAGCTGAACACAGAGCCCGACTTGCTGCCCACTGGAAAAGATCGGATAAGTTTCTCTTCCAAGGCATGTACGCGTCAAACACAGACATGTCACACAGAAAGACCGACCTGACTAAATCCCGCACTGCCATGTGTAAGACATTGGCACTGTTCTGGTACATTGTAACCCACACATGCCATGCAGGCTCCATCAGGTAGAAGACGCTGGGATGCTGGCTGAAAAGCTGACCGACAAAAGAAGATCCCGACCGCCAAGAGGAGAGAATAAGTACGTGGACTTGTGATGGTTTCTCCTCAGACTGAGGTGTGAAGCTACTGTACCGGGCATACATGAAGAGTAAGAATCCAGTCTGAACTGTAACAAAAATGATAACAATTGTGCTAGGAATCCGAATCCTTGCCATTCTCACCGAGGAAGGGCAATGAGAAAAGCTGAAAGAGAGAAGGGAAATACCAGTGAACCATTGTTCCTGGGGCACAATAATGATACAACTTAGACAATACAAACTCTTGCATTAGTAAAACCTTTCTTCACATGTGCATGTATGTATGTGGCATTAACTGCTTCCTTAATCTGTTGCACTGGGGGATGATCACTGCAGGTGACAGCTGTTGGAAACTCAAAGAAAGTAATGTGTGACAGGAAGATCACTGCAGAAATACGCAAATAAGTACATGTTCGATGTTGAAGAAAACCTTGGGTTGATGCAGCTCAACCCATGGATTAAAAAAAAAAACAACTCACAAACACCACCCCCCCCCAACAAACTACAAAATACACAAGGCTCTCAGCTTGAATACTGGTAAATATTGCCCTAAAAACAGAAGAAGAAAAAAAAATTCTGAATTGCTCAACTGTATTTCTGTTTCAATTTCACATTACAGGGATTTCTATCCCCTAAAAGGACTGGATGTGAACATTGGTAATTGTGGGTGCTGAAATAAAAATAATTTTATCTAATGTGAGTGCTGTACCCTACAGGGGCCATAGGACGCTATACCAATTGGTGTTTACCCACAACCCTGTATTTTCCAAACTGTAGAAGGCAGAAGATGGATGAAAACTCACAAGCTGAAGCCACACCTAGCCACAGATGATAAAATGAAAAAGCTGCTGACATGTATCTTTGGTCATACACCCCAAGACTTAATACCCTGAGTTTGTATTCAAGGAATTACCAGTTTGGAAGTTAGATTTGTCTGCATATAGCAAGACATGACATGCCTAGAAAATCGTAGGCATGTCAACCGCAAGTAGATTTCTGCTTTATTTTGCAGTCAAAGTTCAAGACACATGCACTCCTCACAGCTTTTCACTATAGGTTTTTGGCACCTACCCTTTGGTGCTCTCACTCATGCAGATTCCACTTGTAAGCAGTCAGTAAATGTTAGCGGGCAAGGTTTTAGGGAAGTAACACTCCTTATGTATGCAGATCATCTCAAAAGTTCTACATATACATATTTGCTATCTAGCTGCATTTACAATTTCCAGTTACAACTTTGTTCTTGTTACAGTGAAAGATACATTTTTCAACACACTCTGAACTCTTGAAAAGAAATAATGCAGACTAGTAAACATAGGTACACACTCATTTGACATAATAAATTGAACTGAATTAAATAATCGCTCAGTACAAAACCTTTATGTACGGTGCATATTAAAATGTGAAACTCTGCTTCAAAATTCTGTGGCAGCAAAATTATACAAGAGTTCAACAAATAATTACATTGATTTAAAGTACGTAATGGAAGGAAAGCCTTCCAAAGACTGTTAAAGGCAAAAATGAGGCTACAGCCCATGGCTTAACAATTCCCTAAACTGTGGATAGCCCAAGGTATATGCCTGTATTGCGGTGGCACAGTAGGAGAAATAAGGGTTACTGTATTACTTAACTTCTTCCTTAGCAGTCCACTACTAGCTACTCTCAGGCTCAAGAGCAAATATAAAAACTCTTAGTTTAATTCAGCCTGGCCATTATTCATAAATAAAAATCTGCCTTGTTCAAATACTTAATTTTTGCATATTACATCTCCAGAAGCATCTGTAAGTTCCTCTGTGCTGTGAGGATCACCAGCAATCCAGCAGCCTGCACTGACACTTCACCAGAGGGGATTAAAGACTAAGCTGAAGTCAAAGTACAGTTCCAGCTGCTAATTGAAAGATTTTTCCTGAAACAGACTCTGCCTGAAAGTCAGCCAGACACAACTATCTCAGATCTTTTTCCTGAGTGCAAAACATGAGTCATTATCTATACTAAGACTGCGTTCTGCAGCTCCTTGCAATCTCACTCATTATGTAGCTTTTAGAGAATCAATTACACTTTTTAAAGAATTAATGTGTTTCTACTCTAGCTACACAGAACAGTTGCTCCACTCTAATCATGACACACAACTGCAACACTAATTGCTCTTTACATGTTACTAGCAGAGTGTGGGGGACTGAGGAATAGAAGCCAAAAGCTGTTTTTTCTGCCTTGACTGTCTCTCAGACCTCTCCTCACTCCAGTTCCCACCCAAGTACTGTTGCAGATAACACTGTGACAATGAAAAAAACGATGAGTATTAGTCCACAATATGTGTCTGAACTAATCAGACTCAAGTGCTACAAATAATGTCAAATGACTGTAGCTGCAGTATTTCCCTACACTTCAACATGATAGAAACTGCAAGAAAAAAGTGTAATATCAAAGTAAAACACTAAGTAGATACCCGTTTTCTATATTTAAGATTAATTTTCTACCCTTTTGAAGAAGTTGCAGTGTTTCTAAGGAATATACACACATGTAGACACCACTAAAGAAAAAGAATAATTACAGAACAAAATACAGCATCTGTAAAAGTATTCTCTTGTGTGGTTTCCAGTGCTTAAGGCCAAATACGCCACTTTCTCTGTAAACAGTGCCCTTCATTTCTGCACTTCTCATGTTTAATTCTATGTATATATAATTTATTATATACATATTTATTTAATAATATTTCATATCATGTATACATATTATTATTTCTCATATTTAATTCTCATGTGTAATTCTATTTTCATGTAAACAACCATTTACCATTTGCAATTGCATTCTGCAGTTTAGGTGATTTCAGCCCAGGTTAAACTTGCATTCCCTTAGAAGTACAATTTTTTTAACCCAAAAAGCTCTTTGGTGATTTTTGACAAACTTCAGCTGAGGCAGAAAGCAGCTGTTGAATAGCCCACAGAATAACCTTCT